TAAATAGTTCTTATTTACTGAAATCACGTTAGCTGCTCGAAAAAACTGATTTAAGTTAATTGACTTTAGAGAGGACTATTCGAAAGAACAAATGTTTAAATGCTTAAAGGTGAGAGTATTGTTTCAAGTGCTACCCATTTCGAAGGAAATCGGCCATTATTTATTGAATAAAAAACCTCACTAATTGTTGTTATTCCTTCCACTTCTTTGACACTAATGATGGATTTGTACATATCAGGTCTCCTCATACAATAGAATTTTTTTTTTTTCAAGCAAGAAAGTTTTCATAACAAAATGTTCTTTTTTCTTTCGATAGATAATTAAAAAAATTTTATACCATAATTTTAAAGAAATTTGAAAACACCACAGTATAGTTGAAAAAGTGAAAACTTTGAAAAGTTTATAATTTCATATGCGCTTTTATTATTATTATACCCATCACCGAAAGATAGGAAGTGTATTTATTGATTTTGTCTAAATTTTTGCTTCAGAAACCTTACAAAGTTTCAATCAGCATCAAATTCTGAATCGATTAAGCGCGTCCTCCTGTCCGTGCTACTTTTGTGTCTTTATCGTAAATCCCATCTTTGGGACATTTCGATGAAATTTCATACAACGACGTGCTTTGACTCAATGACGAACGTTATTGAAAATGGTTCCGATCGAAACACTTTTTCGATTAGCTCAAATACAAATCGTTATATGAAAACTATATTTTTCCTGAAATTTATTGAAGTATTTGGAAAACGCAAAATTTAGCTTTGTTCAATATGAAAGAAACAAATTACTTTCGCTATATCCTCTTTGGGGTTTTCTTCGCACGTGCAGGTACACTTATATTCGTATACATGTATATGTATATGTATTAAATAGTGTACGTTCACTTAAAAACTCAGCATTTTATATGTTTTAACTTTCCAAGCGTTTGGTATGACTTCTAAAACAAAATCTTGAACGTAGGTTTCACTTTTTTTAGCAAAGATTTCACGTTTTTTAATAACGGTTACGTGTTTGTTAATATCGTTTACATCTTACTTTAAAATCTTAAATGCAGTTTTGTATCTAACTTTGCGCTACCTTTGCGTAACGTCATATTTAGAAACCATTAACAGCACTTTTGCCTGTAAAACTAATGGGAATGAAAGAGTAGGCAAATAAAAGGCTGCTAATTAACAGAGCTGCTACTGTTATTGATAACAGAGACACCAAAAGTCCCTGAGATTTTTCTAACTATTACTTTAAAACATTTCTTTGTACCTCTATATATTTAATTCTCTTTAGTTGTAGTTATTTTAAAGATGTAATCCTTAGAGTATGCTATAAATTTGTGTACATATTGTTGCACTCTTTTTCTGCTTCAAACAAAGAAATTGCTTGAATCCACAATAACCACAAAAGCCATGTAAAGAAAGAAATTTTGGCGAAAAAAGAAAAGAAGATGAAAAAAAATGAATAAGAAAAATCTAACACTTGTCATATTTCTTTGACCAACTTTTGGATATATGTTTACATGTGTATGTACATCTTTAAAAACCACTTGAGTCGTTATGGTTGTAAATTTATGTCATTACGTTTACCAGAAAACCAAAAAAAAGAGGTTTCTAAGAGCAACGAATAGAGAAATCATGAATGATTATTAAATTGTTTAGTACTAAGTTTACATATATATCTATATATGTACCAGGCATCTGTATGCAAACCTCTAATCTTGAAACAACTAAATCTGCATTGTGGTACATACGTAATGATTGTTTTGAATACATTTGCGAAAACTAGAGGAGAATACGTTGCTGCAGCCACATTGCCAGCTACAGTCTCTTCGCTGCTTTTATGCGGTTAGTGTTGATTGTTACCACTAAATATGGTTCATAATGTAACTATTACAACAATTATTTTGGTCGATCGTGTTTATTGTGTTTATTTTGCAACCGATAATTGTTATTATATATATCGGTCTTACAATTTTCTACAATTGTTAGTGTTGTTACGGTTGTTGTTATTCTTGGTTTTATAATATTTTTATACTTTTTTTCTTTTCGCTTTTATACATGTATTCTATATTCTTATAGAAGCAGTCAAATGTGGATATATATGTTTTTATTTTTTTCTTTTTCTATTATTATAACAAATATGGATATGCTTGGCAATATATATATATATTTATATATATATATATATGCGTCCTAAAGACATTCATTTGCATCATTGCATGTTTGTCTCATATAAAGGTTTGCCGGTACAGCAGCATAAATTATTGCCTCTTGGCATTAGCGGTAAATGAAAGCAAACCTATGCAATTTTATTTTAGGATCAATTTAATAGAATTGAATTAATTAAATTGAAATTAATTAATAAATGCATATTATTTTTTAAATAATATTTTGCATTTATTTCTCTTTATTTTCGTTTTTATAACGGTAAAGCAAGAACATCATAACGTAAATTATAAGTCTGTTGCTAATCAGATTAGCACTCAGACAAGAAGAAAGACATGATGACAAAAATACATAGTAGACGATTACAAAATCTCTCAATGACATTAAGCAAAAGACTTCGGGAAAAATAAGTTTTATATATAGTCAGCATTAGAGAATAAAATAATTGATGAAAATGTTATAAAAAGAAAAATTTTTTGCTTTCTATTATATAAGATGACACTATCTGACCCTTCCATGATATTCTCGAAAAAATATTCTTTGACTTTTCGTTAAACGCAAAGCGAATATGACAAAAGGTTAATGGTTAATGAGAAAATATGACATAAAACATTCTTTCAGACAAGCAAAACCGAATTTTAAATACCCTGCCCGCTTTCGCTCTGCTACTAGCGTGTAAAGCTAAAGATGTAGTAAAAAAATAAAAAAAATTTTAAAAATGCCTTCTATGAGAGGGAGCACTCGTACGTGGACCACCCTGACCCAAATTTAAGAGAAATGCATTCAAATCTGCAAATCGTTTTTACCGCGGATGCATTTCCTGAGTTGATTGTGGAAGTTCGGATTTGGAATAAATTCAAATTAAAATTGAAGTTTTAGCCAAATAAAAATTATATCCTGAAAAGTGTTGTTAGGGACTCAAATCGATATGATCCAAATTTACTATAGTCGATTTTTCTTTTTGTCAAAGACTCTACTATTCTTTGTCATAAAATAGCAAAAACTAGATCTTGTTGATCTATAAACCTTTACTTTAGATGTTTACATTCAAAGTACTATTGGATAAGATTCAATCTAGGGGGCACGGCTTTAGGTTGTACATACTGTAATCATAAATTACGATATTTTCCTTTGCAAGATTAACATTATGGTCATTGCTCTCTACCCTACTTGCGGTAAGTGCCTATAAGCTGCATAAGCAAGTATTCAATACTAAAAAGAACTTGAAAAAGATCCATATTTTATAACATGTTAATCTGAATTGGTCTAAGCCTGTCTGTCCGGTTGTCAGTCTGATGTAAATTCATGTTCAAGCTACAGATTGCAATTTTTGAGATATTTCGATAAAATTTGGTTCAGTGAGGTGTTTTGACCCAAAGACGAATGCTATTGAAAATGGTTCGGATCGGTCCACTTTTTCGACCACTCTACATATAACCGTCCCTTCTGAAGAGTCGTGCAAAAAATTTTTCAGCAAAAGCGGCTAAATAGTAGTATTTCGGCATTTTAAATTTGTAGGAAAACTTTGGACCGGCTGGGGAAAATTTAAATCCTCTCTCATATAACGAAAACTGAAGTTCATACGACAGAAGCATTGAAAATTATTTCATAATATAAAGTAATTTAACATGAAAATATTAACTGGGCCAAATTCCGTCCCGGCCTGCTTTTTTTGATCCTATCCTTATAAGGATTTTCACGAAAATTGATTCTTTGTAGACCACAAGAGTCTAAGTTATAATATGTGGTGATGAAAATTTACCCGTAGTATTATGGTAATTTCATACAAAAATGAACTCTACAAAATTTAAGCCACTTACGCCCATTTTTGAACCCTGTCACTTGTAAGGATTAAACTTGTACTAGATTAGATTGTGTTTCGGGCCCGCTTCCCCCAAAATTTGCCTTTATATAGAAATAAGATATAATTTTCGTGTTGCGTAAAAATATTAAGAAGTATTTTAGACAATGTAGTGTAGGGTATTTAATGGTCGGCCTTGCCTTTGTTACTCTTACTTGTTTTTTTCTACTAAATTTTGCTATATTATAATGGAAGTGGTGAGGATTGGCAAACCCTTTAACAAAAATATATCTATACTAAGTTTGGACTAAACCGGTTAACGTTCCATATAAGGGTATCTTAAAATTTAATTTTCATCAGTAATTTTTATTAAATATTCTGCGGTAGGTGTCAAATATATAAGTGGCTAAGCTTGCCAGGCTATAACTTTTCATTTAATGCTTAGATAAATGGAAATCTTGTTGATGGGTCCTGGTGCTTCTAACTTACTGCTGCACCTAAATACATTTTTCAATTGTTTTAGATGGAAAATAAAAATAAGTCTCCCACTTCTTTGACCTTGTGCACATCCTAAAAAGCATAGGATTATAATGTAAACTTACGACAAAGCATTCCCTTAAAGAGAAATATTTTAAAATCCCTGAAAACGATTACGTGCCATGAATTTCGAAAGTTCTGTTGAAAATACATTGAATACAAAAAGAGTACTTTGCTCATTAAATACTCGAATGTATAGTCAGCGTTCGAGAATAGTAAGCGTAGATTTTAGTAACAACTCTTGTTGCAATCGTTTTGAATTTCTTTTCCCCGTACATTCTTTAATTTGTCAAAAATTCTCGCACATTTGTCATTTGACAACGACAGTAACTCTGCGCAATTTCAAATCGAAATATATTTGAAACGTGCCGGGCGAATCATATATATCTAGGTCGTTGAATATTCGAGAACAAGGAGAAGAAGAAGAAGAAGAAGAAAAAGACGCAGAATTATTTGAGGCGCTAATTGAATTAATCTGCACTAACTTCCGGAAGTCCTATTACAAAATGGCCGGCGCGTAAGTAGAAAATCAATTCAATTTTCAATATTTTATGAGGAAAAAATTTCAGATTAATATCGAAATATATATATAAAAAGACATGACCATGATCAATTAAATAATTAATATATTATCTGCTATTGTTAGGCTCGAAAGTAATGGAAATCGATGTGAATCCACGGATTCGGAGATATACTCCAATTCAAGTTACAGTCGTGTCGGTCTTGATGTTTTGAATAAACAACGACAAGATGGAAAGGTGAGCCCGAAAACGATATAATAGGTTATGATTATTACACAGAACCTAACCAAAATGATTTTTCGATTTTGAAGCTTTGTGATTGCGTTTTGGAAGCGGAGGGTGAACTGTTTCACGTTCACAAAACATTGTTCGCAGCTGTTTCTCCTTATTTCGTCGCGATATTTCGACGTAAGTAATTTTATAAGGCTGTTAGGAAATATACTTCTGTAAAACCCCTTCAACCGTTTTCAGATGATGTACGAAAAAATGCGGATGCAAGAATAAAGCTTAACGATATCGATGCGGCTGCTTTGAAAGCAATTATAGATTATATTTACACGGGTGAAATTACTATCACCGTAGGTACCGTGCAAACACTTCTTTCTGCATCCGATTTACTTCAGATCGATTGGGTGAAGAATCAGTGCGGACTGTTTCTTAAACGCAGAGTAAAGTCAACCAATTGTTTTGGTATTTGGAGAATCGCTGGTAAGTTCAGTGAGATTCTTTACGTATTTTCAATTTATGAATGCTTAAGAATATTCCAGATGTGTACTCATGTAAAGAACTCTTTCATTATTGCAATAAATATATATTGCTCTGCTTCCCCCGACTCGTTTATGTCAAGGAATTCTTAACGCTTTCCTTCGACGAGGTATGTAGGCAAGAGACGAATGGTGATAGTTAATAAATGTGTATTCTGAAGCTTTTCGTCAAGCATCTAATCATTCCTAAACGAAATCACTTTTTTTAATTATTTCTTTACAGTTGAAGATGATAATAACCGACGATAATCTTTATGTTAAGGGTGAGGATATTGCTTATCATGGTCTGTTAAAGTGGGTTAAGCATGACCCTGAGTCACGACGAGTTCATCTTTACGAACTAATGAGTCGGATTCATTTACCGCGCGTTCGTCCTCGATTGTTAAAAAATCATATCTTTAGAGAATCGGTCTTCAAAAATGATCAAAAGAGTAAACAACTTTTGACTAAGGCCTTAAGTGATTCTTCATTTTCATTTTATGAAGGTTATTATTCGAGCTCCCCTCGGTATGGCACGCCTCATGTGCTATTCGCTGGTGGAATGTATGGAAATAAACAGTTATTCCCTTGCAAATTACGTAATATATTCTTTGACGAAGAGCTTACTATACGACCAATGAAAGAGCATCGAAACCATTTGTCCGTAGCGTCATTAAACGCGTTTGTGTATTGTACGGGCGGTGTTAACGGATCCCTCCTACTAAGAAGTGCCGAGTATTACGATCCTATTGTTAACGAATGGAACCTGGTAGCTCCGATGAAAGATAGTCATCATTCGCATGGGTCTTGCGTTCTTAACAATCACATCTATGTGATCGGTGGATATATGAATTCGACAGTGGAAAAATACAATCCAAAAACCGATAAATGGTACAGTTGTCCAAACACTCCTTACCAATATAGCAATGGCAATCGTGCAGCGGTTATTGAAAATAGTATTTATAGCTTGGGGGATTACGAGAGCACAACGTTAAATAATCGTTTTGATCCAAGAGAAGGCCGATGGCAAAAACTCAGTGGTGCACCTTATCTGTGGCATTGCACTGAAATGGCTTCTTACGGCCAATCGTTGTATTGCATTGGAGGAGCGGTTGACTCGCATCAATGCACACGGTATGACATGCGTTCAGATAGATGGGAAACTCTATCGTCTATGACGTCTGCCAGATGCGGTCATTCGGTAGTGATCTATAAAAATAAAATTTACGTATTTGGCGGCAACAACTATCCTTGCTATGACGAACGCTATTATATTCGAATAAATGAATGGAAACGTTTCGGCATTGAATCGATTGACCGACAATACGGCGGAGGTGCCCTTACATATACCAATTTAGATAACATGAAGAACTTTTTATGCTTGTCATAGGAAAGATTTTACAAGTTACGAGAAAAAATAAAAAACTTTTATTGCAAACAACAAATATTCCTTATGTCAATTAATTAGGTTGGATAAACAATCTGTGGCGCAGATATTCCCCACAGGTAACAAAACACAACAATCAAATGACACAGACAGAAGTGATTCTTTCTGCTTAAAAGAAGATTTTTCACTATTCTCACATTACGGTGGAGCACAATTGGATCTAAGATAAGTAAAAGGTATCCCGATACTTTCGTTTTCATATTTCGACCTAACAATGCCAATTTGATCCGAGATCAACAAATGGTTTTAACAATGTCATTTTCATATTATATAAATGTTATATAAATGTACTAAACTTCGGGCCCGGTTATGGCGGTAGCACCACGAGTAAATATGCGCACAAAGAGAGGGCGAAGAGTTGTAATCATCATTAAGTTTTTCTATTTTTTATTTCTCCTAATCTGGCGATGCAGAGCGGAACCTCAATTTATCGATTGCTTCTCTTCCAAGGAACAATGCAATTTTTGCAATCAATTTTTGCCGCGTTTACTTCAAGGCAATGTGTATGCATTTGTATAATATCGAAGAACTGGATTCAAACGACTAGCGCGCTGCACCCTTCCCATTCCCAAATCTTAAGTTTCAAATTTTGTCCTCTCGTCTACCAACCTTAAATACCTTAATCTATTCTAAGAGAGGTAACTTACTTAACTATTATGTTTGTATCGTACCT